CTCCCTGAGGCCAATTGAAAGTCCTTCTCCCTAGCCTCACCAAATTCTTCCCATGCCCGAGATTTTGCATTCGTAACCACCAAAGCTGAAGTCCTTCTGACCACCCTGTATCCATCAGCTGCTTCAGGAATCCTCTGGGACAGCCACATCCTAAAGGTCTCCTTTTTCAACTTGATGGCCTCCATAACTGCTGGTGTCCACCAGCAGGTCTTTTGGTTGCTGCCGCAACAGGCACTGATGACCTTTAATTCAATTAATTTATTTATATAGTGCCAAGTCACAACATAATTAGTCTCAGGGCACTGTACAAAAACATTCACATACAATAAAAAGCCAATTAGTAAAAGTTATCTATCTAAAGAAGCCAGCAGATTGCACTGAATCTTCATTTCATTGTAGTCTCCCTTTAGTCCATAGCTCTTGGAAGATGCATCTACAAAACAGACCCTGAACATGGCCCATTAAGATTCCATGTTCCTGACCTCCCCCAGGACACCTGAAAAACCATCCTGAACGTGTTAGTTGAAGGTCACACAGACAGATGGTTCCACCAGATGTTCCCAGTTCACCCTCATTATACGTTTTGGTTTACCAGGTCTATCCAGCAGCCTCACCCGGGCTCAGATCAGGGAGGCCGTTCCTCCCAATCACCCCACTACAGATAACTCCATCATTGCCAAAATGGGTATTGACGTAACCAGTAGAACAAGGGAATCCCCAGATGGCACCCCTTCGAAGACAGCATCCCGAGACTCCAGAAAGGCCAGGTAATCTGAACTGATATTTGGTGCATAAGCGCAAATAACAGTCAGAACCTTCTCTCCTGCAGCCCCAGGCCATAGAGAGGTAACCTTCTCATTCACTGGAAAAAAATACAATGCAGAGGCATTTATCTGTGGGGTTTGTGAGTATACCCACACCCGCCCGACGCCTCTCTTCCTAGGCAACTTCGGAGTAGGAGAAAATCCAGTCTGTCTCCAGAAGTTCAGTTCAAGAGCCCAAGCTGTGTGTAGAGGTGAGCCCAACTATATCTTGTTAGTACCGCTCAGCCTTGCATACAAGCTCTGGCTTCTTACTCACCAGTGAGATAATATTCCAAGCCACTGGAACCAGCCTATGATGCCAAGAATATGCAATGGCCAGGGATCCCTCCTCACCTGCTGCTCGGCTTGCTTTGCACCCAACCTTGATGGACCACCCTGCAGGTGGTGGGCTCACATGGTGGTGGGTTTTGTCGTTTCTTCGGGCTTGGCCCTGTCAAGCCCCGGGATCCAAGGCTCGACTACTAGGCACTTGCCGGCGAGTTACACTCCAGGGTCTGGCTCCAGGGTCTGGCTCCGGTTTCCCCTTTTTCGGGCGAGGTATCCTGATGCCTCTGTTATTGATCCATCAAGGTTTTTGAACCGCCCTTAATCTGATGGGGATGGGAAGTGATTTCTGTATATTTGAAATCTAGGAAAAATGGATGAATTTTATATTTTTATAATGTATATGTACAGTATATGCCTGTTTCTGTACAATTCTATTATATAACAAAACCAAAATACAGTACAACTGTAATATTGAAAATGATCAACATAAAGCAAAATTTACCTTCATATTTTAGAACAACTCCATTTTTTGTTTAGATTTCTGAATTTACAGGTTGCAATTGAATGCATTAAAATTTTAACATGTTCAACACCCCCCCTCCCCACACACACACACACACACACACACAAAGCCTTTCAGGGCCTTCTCAAAGGCTATGAACCCCATGTGTTGGTCCTACAAATTCTGCATGATCCTTGTGATTGATTATATTTCCTGCAGTTTTTAAACAAACTCATCCTGGATTGCCTCTGACTGAGCTCAGCCTTTTCTCCTGATATCCTGATGCATGCTCAATAATCCAGGTAGAAAAATCCAAAAAAGTTCAATCTGGTCCTCTGGACATTCAAAAATACAAAAAAAAAAAAAACAAAGCAAAAAAATATAGAAACGTTTCGTCTCTCATTCGAGAGACTTCCTCAGTCTGAGGTGCTGTTTTCAGCTCAGTCCCTTAAATAGCACCTTCTCAGAGTGGATCAACCAGTTTGCTGCTGACAACCAAAACCAGCTGCTCACATGGTCAAGAAGGACCATCAGCCTAACAATGGATCATTAGCACACTGATGGCTGTTTACTATTCACAGGGGGTTGAGTGATACTAGCAATCACAGCATTGTAAGAGGGGGACAGTTGAACGCGGAGGCCTCCACCCCTGTTTAATGATGGACGATTTCTTTTCACAAAGATGGCCTCCTTTACTCCTCTCTCAAACCATCGTTCCTCTTTGTCCAGGATGTGAACATCTTCATCCCTGAAAGAGTGACTGCTGGCCTGGAGATGAGTGTAGACCGCAGAATCCTGGCCTGATGATGTTGCCCTTTAGTTGGCAGCTCAGAACACCACATACAGAACACCATGGACTTTCTAGATAAGTTGAGGGATGTCATCATGGAGACTGATGAAACAATGGTCTCTTTTGATGTCACATCACTCTTTACGTGCATTCCTGTTGATGATGCAGTAGAGGTGGTCAGTTTAAAATTAAAATCAGACACCACTCTGAGCAGCAGGACCACGCTTTCCACAGAACAACTGTGTCAACTCTTGAAACTACGCCTGCAGTCAACCTACTTCACATATGGGGAGCAATATTATAGGCAGAAACATGGGTGTGCTATGGGGTCTCCAGTTTCTCCTATTGTTGCCAACCTGTACATGGAGGAGGTAGAAAAGAGAGCCTTGACGTCCTTTTCAGGGACATCACCAAGTCATTGGTTCAGGTATGTTGACGACACCTGGGTTAAAATTAAATCTCAGGAAGTCCAACATTTTACTGACCACATCAACTCTGTGGATAAATACATCAAGTTCACATGAGAAGATGTATACGAATGTATACAAAATGCATTACGGCAAAGACTGGTTCATCCCAAAGATCCAGTCCCCCGGCACAAACAGTGTAATGTTGTGTATGCTGTTCAGTGTCAGGAGGGCTGTGATCAGTCTTACATTGGGGAAACTAAACAGCCACTGGCCAAAAGGATGGCCCAGCACAGAAGATCAACATCATCAGGCCAGGATTCTGTGGTCTACACTCATCTCCAGGCCAGCGGTCACTCTTTCAGGGATGAAGATGTGTACATCCTAGACAGAGAGGAACGATGGTTTGAGAGAGAAGTAAAGGAGGCCATCTTTGTGAAAAGAAATCGTCCATCATTAAACAGGGGTGGAGGCCTGCAGGTTCAACTGTCCCCCTCTTACAATGCTGTTATTGCTAGTATCACTCAGCCCTCTGTGAATAGTAAACAGCCATCAGTGTGCTAATGATCCATTGTTAGGCTGATGGTCCTTCTTGAGCATGTGATCAGCTGGTTTTGGTTGTCAGCAGCAAACTGGTTGATCCACTCTGAGAAGGTGCTATTTAAGAGACTGAGCTGAATACAGCACCTCAGACTAAGGAAGTCTCTCGGATGAGAGACGAAACGTTTCTATATTTTTTTGCTTTTCTCCTGATACTGAAGTCCTAACCTATGTGTGTGTGTGTGTGTGTGCATAAGTTAACTCTGAGCATTGCAGCATTTCTGCCATTGTGGTTAATTTTGAAAAGATAAGTTGAAAACTATGGTCAAGGGTAAGCTCAGCCTGTCACCCTCTCCAACTTGATCCACAGTGACTGGTGAATTTGAAGGAATATAAAGAGCCATGACTAGCAGAATTAGCACAGCAGCAGTACATCTCTGTATGCTGTACTAGTTTCATTAAAGGATTTTCCACTTGCAGGACTAGAGGTGAGTAAACTTCAATTCACCAAAAGTCCCAACCGCATGAACACAATCATTTTTTAAATATTTTTTTGGAAAAAAACAAAAACACTAATCAATCATAAATCCTGACGAACTTGAGGTGTTTTTTTTCCCCCTGCTTTTAAACAGTTTGTTGTTGTGCTAATACTATGCTATATTGATTAGCCCTGCATGAAGAAAAAAGTTGGCCTCATACTTGGAGCTGTACCTGATAGGGTGCGCAAGGTTGTGGGATTGAAGGAAATGGACAAGATGGGTGAGGTGGGGGGTTAAATATTCAACAAATAGTCAATTCGTTGAATTCATTGAAAATTGAGAACTGACTGACTGGCCTTTCTGGGTGGAGTTTGTATGTTCTCTCTGTGCATACGTGGGTTTTTCTCCGGGTACTCCGGTTTCCTCCCACAGACCAAAAACATGCATGTTAGGCTGATTGGTAACTCTAAATTGTCCCTAGGTGTGTGTGTGAGAGAGTGAAAGGTTGTTTGTCTCGTTTGTCTCTATGTGGCCCTGTGATGGACTTGCGACCCGCCCAGGGTGTACCCTGCCCCTCGCACAGTGATTGCTGGACATGGACACCAGCGACCCCCGTGACCCAAAATGGAATAAACGGGTAAAGATAATGGATGGATGATTCCCAGAACTGAACTCTACCTATGAAATTTTTCCCTCCATTGTTAGAGAATTTGACCATATTGCATGAACCTAAAGATATTCATCTTACTTTTTTTTTATATTAATCAAATTTATTCATTTATTTATTAAAAAAATTCAGACGGGCATGTCTCTAGGTGACATGCCCCAGGAGAAAATAATTTATTTGTCAGAGTTGTGCATATGCATGCTGTGTATTCACATAAACAAATATATGGGAGCTGGTGGGCAAAGCACTGGACATTCAATTTACACAAATGGTTCCACAGAAGCACGCTAACTAATTTTTTTTACACGTTCTAACACATATGCATGCTTCCACTGTCAGACCTATGTGATGTGAGGAGGGGACCTGGAACACAAAGTTGGGAAAGGACAACAGGATGTTTCTGTTCATTGGGGATCATTTCACATGAGGACTCCTACAGTCTGTCTCATTAGGACCCTGAAGTTAACAGTCAAAGCTTGAGATTTGGTACACAAGTTTCATATTTTCAATTGGCTCCCTCTGCTGCTGATAAGGACATCTACACACTTGATTTTCATTATGACTCCACAGATGATCTGTCTCCTAAACCTTAATATATTTAAACAGAAGCTGACTGCTGAGGTAATATTTAGCTGTTAGTTTAGAACAAGCTTGAGTAACAGATCTGAAGTTACTGGAGAACATGAACATATTACCCACTCTATTCAGTTTGGTTGATACAGCTTTGGCGTTCCTTTGGGACAACGACAGAAACAGCACAAATGCGTAGGTCAAGTCAGCTCTTTAGGTGTCATTTTGTCTGTGTGTCCGTCGTCCCATGCAAGAGAAGTCGACGAAGCTCCTGGGGGTTTGTGATGGGCAGAGAACATGTGAAGCTCTGACAGACATACGCTGTGGCGACACCGTCCAGCTGGGTCATGCAGGCCAGGCCGGGCTGGTGGGACAGGACGCTTTCTGGATTTCCATCAATGAGCATCAAAACCTGAAACAAAAATGGAATTTGTTTACTTCATAATTAAACAAAGTGTAGAAAGCTTGACAGCTGGAGATCCATTTTTATTCAACCTTTATTTATACAGGTTAATCCCATTGAGCCTCAGGGACTCATTTACAAGAGAGACCTGATTTAGACAAATAACGGATGAGGTGCATTTGAACGTCATTATTAAAACTTCACATGATAGTCTTGTAATCTAGATCTCTCTTTTTCAAAGTCAAAACCATCACACTTACATTTTCCTATTTATATCTATTGCAAAAGTAGAAGAAGACACTTTAAAACAGATGACTTCACAGATGAGATGTTTTCAGAAAACTGAAAGATACTCTGTCTCCAGTCAGTTTTCGCTGAGTCATTGCTAACAAGTCATTGATAATCATGACACTTCAGTTACATTTGCAACTTTCAACCTGAAAACAACCTTACAGTCATCATAAAATGATGTGTTGAAGAAACTACAAATTATATATAGAGTGTTTTAAGAACTGTAATTTTTTTATGCTTCTTTGCATGGAGGTGTAAACAGCTGCCAGGAGCTGTTTGTCTTTTGTTGTTTCATTCTGTTGTGGCAGGAACAGTTTTATATCTAATGCTAAATTTGTTTAATGACTAACTGGCACTTGGTTCTTAAAAATATCATAAACTAACAATAATGTCTAGGATAGCGCAATAAAGTACTGTTGCATTAAATAACTAGGGGTCTGGACAACATTTATTCATTGATTCAGAAGATATATTTAATATTGTTTAATTAAAAAAATAAGGATATAAAGTGTCTTTATTATCAATATACACAATCCCATAATTTTGAAACTATACTGATAATGGTTGATGTGTAAATAGATGTTTAAATATCTTAACATGAAACAAGTAAACAAACAAAAAAAAGTTATCAAAGCTGGATAAAGTCTGGGTTAGAAATATTAAATATATGAATACCTATTCAAAATTTTTAATGTTTTCATTTATTTTCAAATGATTGGGACTTAAACCGTCAAAGAAAGAGCAGAAACAGCTGAATTCCACAGAAGAGCCTCGATCATAAATTTAAATGTAAGAACATGGGTGATGTACAGAGTTGTAGCAACTACAGGGGAATTAAGTTGATGAGTCACACAATGAAGATCTGGGAGAGAGTTGTGGAAGCAAGACTTGGACGAGAGGTGACTATTTGAGAGTCCATGCAGGATGGAGTGGATGGAGAAAAGTTTCAGGAGTGATTTGTGACAAAACAGTTTCAGCAAAGACCAAAGGAGAAGTTTACAAGACAGTGGTGAGACCAGCTGTGCTGTATGGTCTGGGGACAGAGACATGGACAAAAAGACAGGAGACAGAACTGGAAGTAGCAGAAATGAAGATGTTCAGGTTCTCCTTAAGAGTGACAAGAATGGAGAAGATTAGGAATGAGATCATCAGAGGTACAGCACATGTTGAACAACTGGGAGATAAAGTTAGAGATGCCAGACTGAGATGGTTTGGACATGTCCAGAGGAGGGACAGTGGTTTGGATATGTCCAGAGGAGGGACAGTGGTTTGGACATCTCCAGAGGAGGCACAGTGGTTTGGACATGTCCAGAGGAGGGACAGAGGTTTGGACATGTCCAGAGGAGGGACAGTGGGTATATTGTTAGAAGGATGTTAGAAATGCAGCTGCCAGGAAAAAGACAAAGAGGAGATATGTGGATGCAGTTAGAGAGAACATGGAGGTAGTTGGCGTGAGGACAGAGGATGTAGAGGACAGAGTGAAATGGAGGAGGATGACTCACTGTGGAGACCCGTGAAGAGGGAAAAGCAGAAAGAAGAAGAAGAAGCCTCAATCATAAATCTGCATTGGCATCAACAATCAAGAAAATGGGAAACTGGCAGTAACCCAATAAAGTGCATCCATACAAGATAACGATTAAGGGTCCACAGTCATGCAAATGTTGATAGAGGCATATGTAGGTGCTTCACCTTTTCCACCCAATTTTTGTTGTAACGGTCAATGGCAACCTCTCAATTACAGGCTCACTTTCTAAACTTGTTTATTTATTAACTTGGTATTATTCTTCACTGTGCAGTGGCAATTTTTGATCGAACCATAGAATACAGTCTTTACACACTTCTACATCCTTACCCTAAATAACCCTGGCACATTTAACTGAGGCTCTTCGGCTGCCACGGCCTCATGCACACAATTTGATAAGAAGAATTGCTCCTCAGATTCAGGATTCATGAGTTTTGCCTGCTAACAGCTAACTAACATTGACATTAACGTTCATACATGCTGGAAACGTGACATGATATGTGACATAACACGTAATTAGTCAACAGAAACAAAACCATCACAGACAGGAGGTGAAGAAGCAGACACAAAGACAGCATGATGAGGGAGGACAGGTGAACTATTTATCTTACCAAGTAACTTTATGAATGTGATGTAGTGGGTGATTTAGGTAGGCTACGTATAAATGTGAATAAATTAAAAACTTACAAAATATAGTCACTCTGTGAAGGTGTACAATTTGAGGTAATAGATGTCTGAGGTTTGTCTAAATGCACCCCCCCCCCCCACCACCACCACCCCAGTAGATGAATTGCTCTGCTCCTACATCTTTCTCTGATCTCAGCCGTGATGCCAGTGAACCTGTTGAATGAAGCTTAGAGGGTAAACAAGAGTCTTTGTGAAACACATGAATGGATGGTTTCACTAGTGAACTACAGAGATTTGTCTGGAAACACTTTTCAACATATAAAATGTGAATAAATGGGGGAAGACTAGAACTGAGTGCGCTGAAAATGTGGTCATGATGGGGTGATTGTTGCTATGGAGACTGAGGGAGGATTTCCCTTCCAAGCTGAATTTTTCCCTTTTTGTCTTGACACATTTTTTGCTGTCAGCTTCTTGCAGATCTACCCTGCTCTGGGACCACATCCAGCCAGGCGCCCACAACTAAAAGGCCATGTTGAAGTAGTGCTTGTGTGTGATGGTGATTGAGAGCAGCAGAAACAAATAGAAATAGTATGTGTGAATGTAACAAACTGAAAGCAAAGTGTGTTGTCCTGTATTTCACGAGTGAAACTGCAGCAAATAGCATGGCTGGCTACACATAAAACTACAGTCAAACTCCCACTGGGTAATCCCCTCATACTGGGCATCCCTTAAACAAACGCAGATCAGCATGCAACACTCCTACCCGTTGAATGTCCCTGCACTGATAGCTCCCTCCCACTCACCATCTCTCATCCTGCCAAAGCAGCTCAGCTGTGTCATGCAAAAAGAACACTATGTACCTGTACTGACAAACTCACATTGGCTCCTTCAAATTGAGAAAAGAATTCAAAATTTTGTGCCGCCAGGAATCAGCATGGCCAGGGATCCTCCCTTGCTTGCCGCATGGCATACATGGCACCCCACCTTGATGGTCCTCCTTACACTTGGTGGGCCCACATGTAGGTGGCAACCTTTCTCTTTTTCAGGCTTAGCCCAGCTGACCCCCAAGAGCCAAGGCTCAACTGTCAAGGCTCGACCACCAATCGCTTGCCAGTGAGCTCCAACCTCACCCCCCCCCCCCCCGGCTCCAGGGAGGTGTCCCAGTTTCATTTTTTTCATTTTTTGGGGGAGGTTTTCTTATGTATATGTTTCTTCATCAAAGGTTGTGAATCGCTCTTGGTCTGACCCTGACACTGAGGCCTGTTTGCCAGAAGATCCTAAAAGGGTCTGATACCACAGAAAACATATCCCTCAGGATCATGGAGGTTGGGGAGGTGCCGTTGACTCAGATGGAGGAATTCAAGTATCTAGGGATTCTGTTCATGGGTGATGGTAGGAGGGAGTGAGAGATGGATTAACAGATTGGGGCCTCATCCTCAGTAATGAGGAAAGGTAAAGCTCTCAATTTAATTTGTATGTATTTCAGCCCTCACCTAAGGCCATGAGGTATGGAACATTACCAAAACAATGAAATTCCAGATACAAGGGGCCAAAATGAGCTTCATTCTTAGAATGGCTCATCCGTAAAGAAAGATTGTGGAGCTCTGTCAGTTCTATTGAAATTTAGCATAGAGCTGCTGCACATTCACTGTAAGGAGTCAGTTGAGGTGGTTCCGGGATCTGAGTAGGATGTCTCCTGGATGCCTCCCTTTAGAGGGGTTGTGGGCATGTTCTACTGGGAAGAGGCCCTTGGGCAGACCAAGAACTCGCTGGAGGGATTACATATCTTCTTTGGTCTGGGAACGCCTCGGTGTCACCCAGGCTGAACTGGAGAGTCCCGTCTATGAATAAAGAGTAAAATATGGAGATAGAGAATTCAAAAGCTTGCTCTTCACAACCAAACTCCATCTTACCATGTATTTAAGCTTTTTTTTAATATTCCATAGCTTTTTTACAGAACACTTTGCTCTCAGACTGCAGGTTTACGTTTGCGACAAAGTGAGACTTGACGCATTCTGCAGCTTTCCTTAAACAACTTTTACTAATTGGCATTTCACATTGTGAGTGTGTGAATGCTAATAATTATGCATGTGTTATCCAGAAGAGGGCTGAAAGTGACACCTGAAAATGAATACTTCTCTGACAAATTCTAATAAACTGAGAACATTGGTGCAAGTCCACACTCAGGTTACTACACCATTCAGCAAAATCAGTCGACCAGGAAAAAAATACTTCACAATATTCAAAAGTAGCATAGAAAGTATACTGTCTGCCACATTGGATGCAGTGAATATAAATTTGACCAACTTATAGCCATTAATGTGCTTGTTGATGTTGATAAACCAAGTCGGCCTGTAAGGTTTTCAGTTTTTCCTCCAGGTTCTTGAGTTCCAGGGTGGTGCCTATGAGCAACAACAGCTGGAGGTCATCCCACTGATTGGCTCCAGGACTTCAGATGAGCTCTACTCCCTGCTGGAGCATTACCTACCAACCAGTACTTGTGCCTCCAGACCTTTATTGTACAAATTACCAAAGAGTACTTATACTTACCCTTGTGTTTTCATGTTTT